TAGAGATGATTAAGGTATAGTTTTTCATTTAGAATATGGAACACTGAAGGGGGGCCAGGTATATCCTTTTAAGTATGTCATATGATATACTTATAGGAATACGTGAAAGACAGGAGTTATGAATCATTATTTCCTAGATTTTCCAGCACTTTTCTAAACGCAAAATGCATTTTCTAGTTTTGTAGTTTTTTTTTCATTTTAGACAATAACAATATTTTGTACTCTGCTCACTGCATCGTACAAGAAAACGAAGTACAGGCCTTTCGAAGGGGGATTGCTAACACAAACATTCAAAGCCGACCATGTGCCATATTTTCTGCTTTTATTACTTCATTTAATTGCTTGTATGCAAAGCCATAAATCATAGGAAATATATAAGTCAGTTTGTAGATATGTATTATGTATTATTGAAATTTGTATCAAATGTTTCGTCTTTCGTTTCGTTTTTTCAATTTTCTTAGTAGCACTCGTTTTTGTTTTATTTTTATTTTTATTTTTTTATTATTTTTATGCGATTTTTAGGCGATTTATTTTTATGCCCTAAACCACATAAAAGCTTATGTCTTTGTTTAATATTATCTTTTGTTAATTTTTAATATTTATTTGAATAATAATATATTAATAATTGGCCAGAAATGTTGTTTTAATTATCCTTAGCAATTATCATTTTTGCTTTTTGAAAATAGTTTAATTTAGTTTTGAAAATCTTATTTTTTGTTTTTGAAACTTTAAAAATCGCTTCAAAGAAACGGAAAAAAATTGAAAAATGAAAAACACTCAAAATAAAAAAATTAATGTGATGGATAATCAAAAAAATTCAAAAACAATGAATGATATAAAAAAATGAAATAATTGAAAAAAAAGTGCAAAAAACGAAAAATATGAAGAGAAAATATTATAGAAAAGTTAAAAGTGGAAAAAAATAAAAAAATTTTTTTTGAGAAATGAGAAATACGCAAAATTTTGTAAAAAATTTATTCACTTTTCAAAATTGTTCAAATGGATATCATTGATTTTTCTTAAATTATTTCGTTTATATTAACTATTTTATTATCATAAAATCGTTAAACTGTTAAGCTGTTTAAGCTGTTTAGAATTCTTGAGGTCCTACATTAATTAAGCAATTCGAAGAGCAACAGTTTAAAAAGTGGCAACTTATCCTTTGTGGTTTTTAAAAGCCTTTTTAAAAGTTTTTTGATTTCTTCAGATTAATCAAGAATGCACGACTACTCTTCATCTGAGGCGATTTATTTTTATGCGCTTAAATTATATAAAATTTGAAAAAACTGATTATCAGTATTTTCAATATCGCGCCTAATAAAGAATTTGAATCGATTCTCAGAGTCAGATCGATTAATGCTTTAGAAATTGATAGAATTTAATTGGGATTTGTAAAATAAAAAGGCCTTCAAAGCTATCTCGATATTTGCTCAAAATCTCTTATACTTTTTAAATACATCTTTGAGCGGTGGTCTCAGTAGTCTTCCTCAAAAGCATTAAATTGCTTTATTCCCTTCCTGCTACATTTCGTAATTTTATAATTATAACTATTCCAAAAAGATAAATTTGAACCATATTGATATGATATTGATTGAAATCAAAGTGTGGTTGCTGTGAGAGTAGAACATGCCAGGAGGGCATTAAAGAGCTCAAAAGGAATTTTTTGTAGTTTAGAGAGATTTTCATCAAATTTGAAAAATCAACGAGTCTCACTAGTGAGGTAGAAATTGTACTTTGATTTAGGCAGTTTATAGATTTGCATCAATTCTTCCTGTTAAGCAAGGAAGAATTCCCGACTCATAAAGATCCAATAAATTACAATATAAAATTGAAAAGGCATACATCTACGTTTCCTTATAAAGGGAAGGGAATAAGCGTAAAATTCTTTCGATACCATAGGTAACCGCGTCGAACACTAAGAATAAATAAATGGCCGAACGGCCTTGCAATCAATTTGTTGATGGAGAAATAATTCTCTAAAAATAAATTAAAGCTAATTAAACATTAAGGATGGAACCAGTGGAATAATAAAGAATGGTGCAATAGTGATGAAATGATGAAATATAATATACTTCATTCGAGAAGAATTTATTAGGAAAAGTCATTGCATTGTGTATTAATGAGTGGTGTAACGGCTAAATGAATTTTACCATTAAGTACCGTTCTTTCCGCAGATGGAAAATCGCAAAGCAAGATCATACGAAAATTTCAAATATAAAAAAATTCTATCAAAATCTTATGAATATATTACAAATGGGAAAAACTAATTTAAAAATAACATAGTGGTACCAACATTACACTAATATTCGCCAGTCAATTCTACATTCCCCGCCTCGCTAATGATCTTTCCAGCATCCATTTCGATGCCATGGAAAACTGCATCAGCTTGGTAGCATTGCTCTCTCTGCAAAAATTAATAAATGTGCGCCATCTATTAATTAACACAAGGCCTCCTCTTATAACAGTTATGACTATTACTGTAGCTCCATTGGCTGCAAAGGGTGTCACTGCGATAATAGGAACGATTGGAGTAATCGAATAATTGATCATAAAAAAAAGTGTTGTTATAATACGAAGTGGCAGAATGGTCGTAGAAAAATCATAAATTGAGTGGAACTCGCAAAAATCAAATGCCTCTCGAAAATACTTTTTTATGAATTATGACTATATTAATATAGTCGATCTATGATGATTCTTCACATTAGTTAAGGTAGTCAATCATAAATTTAGCAATTTGAAGCAAATTTCGCTAATTTTGGATAGTTGGCTTAGGTTCATATTAATGTTGATAAATTTTTTGAAAAAATTTTTTAGTGTTAATGGTTTTCTGAATTTACTGATCATGCAAGCATCATGAAAAGACTGAATATACGCATTTTATTTTTACAGTTTCACAAATATTCAAGTTTTGTTTCAAACTTATTCAGTTATAACACAAAGTTTATCCTTATTACAAACTGAATTGGGAAGAGCGCATGGCCAACCTAATTCGCATTGCTCTCCTTCTTCGTATAAGATGGGGAACGTTTTTGCACTGAAAAATTCCTTTTTTAAATTTACGGGAAATAACGAAGCAAAAAAAGAATATTATGAAGAGAATCTGCAGAAAAATATGATAAATAAAAATATAAGGAAATATTATTTGCCTCGGCCAGAATTTGCAAACGGTATATTGAAAATTTTTTTTCATTCCACTTCCATAATATGCACAATTATTATATGTTGCACAGCCGACATCTGTGGTTGATCCCGATGCAAACTAAAAGTATCATAAAGCTGATTAGGGCAAATAGGGAGAATTTACGTAAGTCAGCCACAACTTATCGAAAATAAGCAATTAATTCAAAAATTCGAACCTGCAAATAACTGTCTCTATTCTGACCTGTTAGAGTAACATTTCGCTCTTTTTTTGTTATTTTTACCCATTCTTTTAGACCGTATTTTACCGGATTTTCTCAAATTATAAATAAATGCAAAGTGAATAATTTCAAATTAAAGTCAAATTAATTATCATTTATATTTTTTGCATTTGCATTTTGCATTTTTATCACTACTTTTTTCATTGGGAAATTCCTA